AGCGTCCCCGAGGGCACCTTTGACTCCTTCACGCTGCAGTACCGCGATGCACAAGGCCAGCCCCAGGTGCTGCCCGTGGACGGGGGTTCCCGCACGCTGACGCTGCCGGGGCTGTCCCCGTCCCGCCGCTACAAGTTCAACCTGTACGGGCTGTGGGGTCGCACACGCCTGGGCCCCGTCTCCACCGACACTGTCACAGGTGAGGGGGCTCTGGCACCAGCCCCGCTGAACCGCCTCTTGTAGTGGACAGAAGCTTGGGCAGGGCCCGTGCTCGTGCCTTGGTCAGTGGAGGAAAGGGGGTGGGAGGGGATTTGGGATCAAAGGAAGAATTGGGGCGTGACAGGTTGGAAGGATGGAGGGGTTGTTGAGGATGGATGGTTCGATGGGTGGATGGATAGATGGATGGTTGGATAGTTGATTGATTGATGGCTGGATGCATGGATGGATGGATAGAGTTATGGGGGTAGTTAAATTTTGGCTTTGGTTCACAGTCTCAAGCGACTGTTTTGATCACTCGATGATTCATTGGAGGGATGGGTTAAAGAACCAGTACAGAGAAGAGTGCAGTGAAAGACAGAATAGTGAATAGGTCCGTGAATGGAAGGATGGATGATGGGTGGATGGATGGATGGATGGACGGATGGATGGATGGATGGATGGATGGATGGATGGATGGATGGATGGATGGATGGATGACTAGAAGAAAGGATTTATCAGTAGAAGGCTGAGTAGAGAGTAACGATGTTTGTTGAATGAGTGGAGGGCTGGAAGGCAGCGGAATGCATGGAGTGTTGAATGGATGAAGGGATACAACACTGAATGCTTGCACTGATGCATGGTTGAGAGAATCTGAGAGTCTCAAAGGCAGGTTTCACTTTGCTGAATCGGAAGCGTGGGCAGGGCCCGTGCTCGTGCCTTGGTCAATGGAGGAAAGGGGGTGGGAGGGGATTTGGGATCAATGGAAGGATGCGGGTGTGACAGGTTGGAAGGGTGGAGGGGTTGTTCAGGGTGGATGGTTGGATGGGTGGATGGATAAGTGGACGGATGGATGGATGGATGGAGGATGGATGGATGGATGGATGATGAATGGGTGGATGGATCGATGGATGGATAGTGTTTGAAATGTCTCTAGAGCAGCACGGCTTCCTGTGAGAGGGTTGGATAGGACGAATGAATGGATGTATTTGGATTTGTGAGTAGGAGAATGGAGAGATGGAGCCATGGAATCCAGAATGTCTGGAGTGCTGAGTCCCAGTATTAAGAGTTGCATGGATGAATGTGTGCATCAATGAATAACTGATCAGATGGTGGATGTTTGAGTTTGTCACGGATGCTGTATTGGGTGCTTGTTGGGACTTCAGAGACTCATGGGTGGAAGGAAAGGTGGAAAGGAGGATGATTGATGGAGGTATTGATGAATGAATGGATGATGGATGGACAGACGGCTGGATGGATGGATGGATGGATGGATGGACTGATGGAGGGATGGATTGTGGGTGGATGGATGGATGGATGGATGGATGGATGGATGGATGGATGGAGAGACAGGGGGATGGGTGGCTGGCTTGAAGGATGAATGGTTTAAAAGATGAATGGAAAGATGGACAGAAAGAGGGACGGATGGATGGATGGATGGATGGATGGATGGATGGATGGATGGATGGACGGATGAGTGGGTGGATGGGAGGATGGATGGGTGGTGGGATGAATGGATGGGTGGATTTACAGATGAATGCTTCTATGGATGGCTGATGAATGGATGGATGGATGGGTGGATGGATGGATGGAAGGATGGATGGGTGGATGACAGAATGGTTGGATGCATAAATGGACAGATGGATGGATGGATGAAAGAATGGATGGATGGATAAATGGACAGATGGATGGATGAGTGGTTGGATGGAAGGCTGCATGGATGAATGCATGGATGGATGGATGGAAAGATGGATGGATGGATGCATGGAGGGATGCAAGAAACGGAAGCATGTGTATACATAAAGAATGTGTGTTGAATTCTTGGAGAGCTGGATGCTGATGGAAAGCATGGAGGGCTGGATGGATGTAAGAATACAGCAATGGATGGTTGGAGTTATGGATGGTTGATGGACCTTGAAAGTCTTCAAGGCCAGGTCTGATGGTGCTGAATCAGCAAAGGAATGTGTTAAAGTTGGATGATGGGGTTGTTTGTCATCATGGGTTGAGTGTTTGGCAGGTCTTTAGAGCAGCATGGCTGCCTGTGGGATGGATGGATGGAAGGATGGAGGAGTGGGTGGATGGAAGGATGCATGGGTGGATCGATGGATGGTGGGAGGGAGGGATGGATGAATGGATGAGTGGATAGGTGGAAGGATGGATGGATGGATGGATGGATGGATGGATGGATGGATGGATGGATGGATGGATGGACAGATGAGTGGATAGGTGGAAGGATTGATGGATGGATGGATGGATGGATGGATGGATGGATGGATGGATGGATGGATGGATAGATGGATGGATGAGTGTGTGGATGGAAGGACAGATGGAAGACTGCATGGATGGATGGATCAATGCATGGAAGGATGGATAATTTTGGAATTATGAGAAGATGAATGGATAGAGTGATCCATTGAATATGGAATGCCTGGTGAGCTTTATCTCAGTGAGAGGCATTGAAGGTTGCATTCAAGAATAGATCCATCAATAGATGAGTAGTCAGACGATAGATGATTGATTAAATTGCTGATCCTGTATTGGGCGCTTGATAGGGCTCTATAGATGCAGGGATGGAATGAAAGAGGGAAAGAATAATGAATGATGTATGAATGAGGCATGCATGTGTGGATGGATGGATGAACAGATGGATGGATGAACAGGTGGATGGATGAACGGATGGACGAATGGAGATATAGATTCACATACAGATGCTCATGGCCTTCATTTTGGCCTCCCCACTGCAGCTCCAGCTCCACAGGAGGAGGAATCCCAGCCAGTGCTGGGCGAGCTCAGGGTGTCCGAGGTCACCTCTGACTCGGTGCAGCTGGAGTGGAGCGTCCCCGAGGGCACCTTTGACTCCTTCACGCTGCAGTACCGCGATGCACAAGGCCAGCCCCAGGTGCTGCCCGTGGACGGGGGTTCCCGCACGCTGACGCTGCCGGGGCTGTCCCCGTCCCGCCGCTACAAGTTCAACCTGTACGGGCTGTGGGGTCGCACACGCCTGGGCCCCGTCTCCACCGACACTGTCACAGGTGAGGGGGCTCTGGCACCAGCCCCGCTGAACCGCCTCTTGTAGTGGACAGAAGCTTGGGCAGGGCCCGTGCTCGTGCCTTGGTCAGTGGAGGAAAGGGGGTGGGAGGGGATTTGGGATCAGTGGAAGGATGGGGGAGTGACAGGTTGGCAGGGTGGAGGGGTTGCTGAATGCATGGATTGATGGGTGGTTGGGTGGATGGAGGGGTGAACGGATGGATGGATTTTCAGATGAATGGTTACATGGATGCGTGATGAATGGATGGATGGTTTGAAGGATGGATGCATGGATGGATGAGTGGGTGGATGGATGGATGGATGGATGGATGGATGGATGGAGGCATGGATTGATGTATGTGTGCATGGATGGATGAATGAGAGGGTGGATGAAGGGATGGAAGGATAGATGGATGGATGGATTCATGAATGGATGAATGAGTTGCTGGATGAAAGGATGGAAGGATGCAAGGATGGATGAATGGATGAATGATAGGGTGGGAGAATGGATGGATGGATGGATGGATGGATGGATGGATGGATGGATGGATGGATGGATGAATGGATGGATGGATGGATGGATGGATGGATGGATGGATGGATGGATGGATGGATGAATGGATGGAGGCATGGATGGATGGATGGGTGGATGGATGGGTGGATGGAAGGATGAATGGATGAGTGGCTGGATGGTTGAGTGGGTGGATGGGTGTATGGATAGATGAGTGGTTGGATTGATAGATGGATGGATGGATGGATGGATGGATGGATGGATGGATGGATGGATGGAAGAAACGATTTATGAGTAGAAGGATGAGTATACATAAACAATGTGTGTTGAATTCCTGGAGAGCTGGCTGCTGATGGACAGCATGAAGGGCTGAATGGATGAAAGAATACAGCAATGGATGGTTGGAGTTATGGATGGTTGATCGACCCTGAAAGTCTTCAAGGGCAGCTGTGACAATGCTGAATCAGCAAATGAATGTACTGAAGGTGGATGATGGGGTTGTTCGTCATCATATGTTGAGTGTTTGACAGGTATTTAGAGCAGCATGGCTGCCTATGGGATGGATGGATGGATGGATGGATTCATGGATTCATGGATGGATAAATTTGGAAATATGAGTTGGTTAAGGTGGTGAGGCACTGGAATGGGTTGCCCAGGGAGGTTGTGAATGCTCCATCCCTGGCGGTGTTCAAGAAAAGTTTGTATGAGGCCTTGGGTGGTATGATTTACCGTGAGGTGTACCTGCCAATGGCAGGGGATTTGGAACTAGATGATCTTAAGGTCCTTTCCAACCCTAATTATGCTATGATTCTATGATTCTATGAATATGAAATGCCTGGAGAGCTTTACCTCAATGAAGAGCATTGAGGGTTGCATTGATGAATAGATCCATCAGTAGATGAGTGGTCAGACAATAGATGATTGAGTACGTCAGTGATCCTGTACTGGGCTCATGATAGAACTCTATCGATGCAGGGATGGAATGAAAGATGGAAAAGACGATGAATGATGCATGGATGAGGCATGCATGTGTGGATGGATGGATGAATGGATGAACGGATGGATGGATGGATGACTGGAGAGATAGATTCACATACAGATGCTCACAGCCTTCACTGTGGCCACTCCACTGCAGCTCCAGCTCCACAGGAGGAGGAACCAGCATCGCAGCCAGTGCTGGGTGAGCTCAGGGTTTCCAACGTCACCTCTGACTCGGTGCAGCTGGAGTGGAGCGTCCCCGAGGGCACCTTTGACTCCTTCACGCTGCAGTACCGCGATGCACAAGGCCAGCCCCAGGTGCTGCCCGTGGACGGGGGTTCCCGCACGCTGACGCTGCCGGGGCTGTCCCCGTCCCGCCGCTACAAGTTCAACCTGTACGGGCTGTGGGGTCGCACACGCCTGGGCCCCGTCTCCACCGACACTGTCACAGGTGAGGGGGCTCTGGCACCAGCCCCGCTGAACCGCCTCTTGTAGTGGACAGAAGCTTGGGCAGGGCCCGTGCTCGTGCCTTGGTCAGTGGAGGAAAGGGGGTGGGAGGGGATTTGGGATCAGTGGAAGAATGGGGGTGTGACAGGTTGGCAGGGTGGAGGGGTTGCTGAATGCATGGATTGATGGGTGGTTGGGTGGATGGAGGGGTGAACGGATGGATGGATTTCCAGATGAATGGTTACATGGATGCGTGATGAATGGATGGATGGATTGAAGGATGGATGCATGGATGGATGAGTGGGTGGATGGATGGATGGATGGATGGATGGATGGATGGATGGATGGAGGCATGGATGGATGGATGTGTGCATGGATGGATGAATGAGAGGGTGGATGAAGGGATGGAAGGATAGATGGATGGATGGATTCATGAATGGATGAATGAGTTGCTGGATGAAAGGATGGAAGGATGCAAGGATGGATGAATGGATGAATGATAGGGTGGGAGAATGGATGGATGGATGGATGGATGGATGGATGGATGGATGGATGGATGGATGATGGATGAATGGATGGGTGGATTTGTGGATGGATGGATGGATGAATGGATGGGTGGATTTGTAAATGGATGGATGGATGGATGGATGGGTGGATGGATGGATGGATAGATGGATGGGTGGATTTGTGCGTGGATGGATGGATGGATGGATGGATGGATGGATGGATGGATGGATAGATGGATGGGTGGATTTGTGCGTGGATGGATGGATGGATGGATGGATGGATGTGTGGATGGATGGATGGATGGATGGATGGACGGAAGTAAGAAACGATTTATGACTAGAAGGATGAGTATACATAAACAATATATGTTGAATTCCTGGAGAGCTGGATGCTGAAGGAAAGCATGGAGGGCTGAATGGATGAATGAATACAGCAATGGATGGTTGGAGTTATGGATGGTTGATGGACCCTGAAAGTCTTCAAGGCCAGCTGTGACAATGCTGAATCAGTAAATGAATGTACTGAAGGTGGATGATGGGGTTGTTCGTCATCATGTGTTGAGTGTTTGACTGGTCTTTAGAGCAGCATGGCTGCCTATTGGATGGATGGATGGATGGGTGGATGGATGGATGGATGGATGGATGGATGGATGGATGGATGCATGGATGGATGGATGGATGCATGGATGGATGGATGGATGGATGAATTTGGAAATAGGAGTACGTTAGGGTGGTGATGCACTGGAATAGGTTGCTCAGGGAGGTTGTGAATGCTCCATCCCTGGTGGAGTTCCAGACAAGGTTGGACAAGGCCTTGGGTGGCCTCCTTTCCAACCCTAACTATGCTATGATTCTATGATTCTCAAAATATGGAATGCCTGGAGAGCGTTCCCTCAATGAGGAGCATTGAGGTTGCATTGATGAATAGATCCATGAAGAGATGAGTGGTCAGTCAGGAGATGATTGAGTACGTTGGTGATCCTGTAGTGGTCTCTTGATAGGATTCTATAGATGCAGGGATGGAATGAATGATGGAAAGGACGATGAATGATGTATGGATGAGACATGCATGTGTGGATGGATGGATGGATGGATGGATGGATGGATGGATGGATGGAGGAATGAATAGATGGGGGATGGATGGATGGATGGATGGGGGATGGATGGATGGATGGATGGATGGATGGATGGATGGATGGACGGATGGATGAATATAAAGGGGGATGCACGCATGGATGGATGGATGGATGCATGCATGCATGTTGGGGTCAACGGATGGATGGATACAAGAATGGATGGATGAGTGGGTGGATGAAAGAATGGAAGAATGGATGGATGCATGGATGCTTGGGGGGATGGATGGATGGATGGATGGATGGATGGATGGATGGACGGATTTACAGATGAGTGGTTACATGGATGGCTGGTGAACGAATGGATGGATTGAAGGATGGTTGGATGGATGGATGAGTGGGTGGATGGAGGCATCGATGGATGGATCGATGGATGGATTGATAGGTGAATGGATGAATGCATGGGTGGATGGCAGGATGGATGGAGAGAGGGATGAATGGATGGATGGAAGAGTGGGTGTATGGATGGATGAATGGATGGATGCATAAATAACTTGGTGGAAGCATGAATGAATCCCTGGAATGATGGATGGATGGATGGATGGATGGATGGATGGATGGATGGATGGATGGATGGATGGATGGACGGACGGATGGTGGAGTGGGTGGATGTGTGTATGGATAGATGAGTGGCTGGATGGAAGGATGGATGGATGGATGGATGGATGGATGGATGGATGGATGGATGGATGGATGGATGTAAGAAATGATTTATGAGATGAAGAATGAGTATACATAAAGAATGTGTGTTGAATTCCTGGAGAGCTGGATGCTGATGGAAAGCATGAAGGGCTGAATGGATGAAAGAATACAGCAATGGATGGTTGGAGTTATGGATGGTTGATGGACCCTGAAAGTCTTCAATGCTAGGTGTGACTGTGCTAAATCAGCAAATGAATGTACTAAAGTTGGATGATGGGGTTGTTCATCATCATGTGTTGAATATTTGAGAGGTCTTTAGAGCAGCATGGCTGCCTGTGGGATGGATGGATGGATGGATGGATGGATGGACGGATGGATAAATTTGTAAATATGAGTAGATGGTTGGATAGAATGATCCTTGGAATATGGAATGCCTGCAGAGCTTTACCTCAGTGAGAAGCATTGCGGGTTGCATTGATGAATCATCATCAATAGATGAGTGGCCAGACAATAGATGATTGAGTACATCGGTGATCCTGTACTGGGCTCTTGATAGGACTCTATAGATGCAGGGGTGGAATGAATGATGGAAGGAAAGATGCATGATGTATGAATGAGGCATGCATTTGTGGATGGGCGGATGAATGGATGAACAGATGGATGGATGGATGACTGGAGAGATAGATTCACATACAGATGCTCACAGCCTTCACTGTGGCCTCTCCACTGCAGCCCCAGCTCCACAGGAGGAGGAATCCCAGCCAGTGCTGGGTGAGCTCAGGGTGACCGAGGTCACCTCTGACTCGGTGCAGCTGGAGTGGAGCGTCCCCGAGGGCACCTTTGACTCCTTCACGCTGCAGTACCGCGATGCACAAGGCCAGCCCCAGGTGCTGCCCGTGGACGGGGGTTCCCGCACGCTGACGCTGCCGGGGCTGTCCCCGTCCCGCCGCTACAAGTTCAACCTGTACGGGCTGTGGGGTCGCACACGCCTGGGCCCCGTCTCCACCGACACTGTCACAGGTGAGGGGGCTCTGGCACCAGCCCCGCTGAACCGCCTCTTGTAGTGGACAGAAGCTTGGGCAGGGCCCGTGCTCGTGCCTTGGTCAGTGGAGGAAAGGGGGTGGGAGGGGATTTGGGGTCAATTGAAGGATGGGGGTGTGACAGGTTGGCAGGGTGGAGGGGTTGTTGAATGCATGGATGGGTGGTTGGATTCATGAATAGATTGATGGATTCATGAATGGATAGATGGACAGATTGACAGATGACTGGATATGGGATGGACGGATGGATGCATGGATGGATGGAAGAAACGATGAATGGATGGATGCATGAATGGAAGTATAGATGGATGAGTGGTTAGATGGATGGATGGATGGACGGACGGATGGAAGGATGGATGCGGATGGATGGATGTATGAAAGGATTTATGATTAGAAAGATGAGTATACATAAACAATGTATGTTGAATTCCTGGAGAGCTGGATGCTGATGGAAAGCATGGAGGGCTGAATGGATGAATGAATACATCAATGGATGGTTGGAGTTATGGATGGTTGATGGACCCTGAAAGTCTTCAATGTTGGTGTGTCTGAATCAGCAAATGAATGTACTGAAGGTGGATGATGGGGTTGTTCATCATCATGTGTTGAGTGTTTGGCTGGTCTTAAGAGGAGCATGGCTGCTTGTGGGATGGATGGATGGATGGGTGGATGGATGGATGGATAAATTTGGAAATATGAGTTGGTTAAGGTGGTGAGGCACTGGAATGGGTTGCCCAGGGAGGTTGTGAATGTTCCATCCCTGGCAGTGTTCAAGGCCAGGTTGGACGAGGCCTTGGGTGACATGATTTACTGTGAGGTGTACCTGCGCATGGCATGGGATTTGGAACTAGATGATCTTAAGGTCCTTTCCAACCCTAACTGTGCTATGATTCTATGATTCTATGAATATGGAAAGCCTGGAGAGCTTTACCTCAATGAGGAGCAGTGAGGTTGCATTGATGAATAGATCCATCAATAGATGAGTGGTCAGAGTGAAGATGATTGAGTACGTTGGTGAACCTGTACTGGGTTCTTGATAGGATTCTATCGATGCAGGGATGGATTGAAAGATGGAAAGGACGATGAATGATGTATGGATGAGGCATGCATGAGTGGATGAATGGATGGATGGATGGATGGATGATGGGTGAGTGGATCCTTGATAGATGGCTAGGTGGATGGATGTATGAATGGGTGGATGGATTGTTCGATGGATAGAAGAAAGCATTTATTAGTAGAAGGATGAGTAGAGAGTAACGATATTTGTTGAATGAGTGGAGGGCTGGATGGCTGCGGAATGCATGGAGTGTTGAATGGATGAAGGGATACAACACTGAATGCTTGCACTGATGCATGGTTGAGAGAATCTGAGAGTCTGCAAAGGCAGGTTTCACTTTGCTGAATCAGTGATTGATTGAACGTACAGAAGGCGGGTGGTGGAGTTTGTGCCTGATCATGTGGTGAGGGTTTGAAATGTCTCTAGAGCAGCACGGCTTCCCGTGAGAGGGTTGGATAGGACGGATGAATGGATGTATTTGGATTAAGGAGTAGGAGAATGGAGAGATGGAGCCATGGAATCCAGAATGTCTGGAGTGCTGAGTCCCAGTATTAAGAGTTGCATGGATGAATGTGTGCATCAATGAATAACTGATCAGATAGTGGATGTTTGAGTTTGTCACAGATCCTGTATTGGGTGCTTGATGGGACTTCAGAGACGCATGGGTGGAAGGAAAGGTGGAAAAGAGGATGATTGATGGAGGTATTGATGAATGAATGGATGATGGATGGATGGACAGATGGATGGTTGGGTGAACGTACTGACGGATAGATGGTGGGTGGATGGTGGATGGATGGATGGATGGATGGATGGATGGATGGATGGATGGATGGATGGATGAATAGACAGGGGGATGGGTGGATGGATGGATGGATGGATGGATGGATGGATGGATGGATGGATGGATGAATAGACAGGGGGATGGATGGATGGATGGATGGATGGATGGATGGATGGATGGATGGATGGATGGATGGAAGCATGGATGGATGGATAAATGGATGGATAAATGGATGGATAAATGGATGGATGATCGGCTGGCTGGCTGGCCAGCTGGATGGATGGATGATTGGATGGATGGATGGATGGATGGATGGATGGATGGATGGATGGATGGATGGATGGATGGATGAATGGATGAACAGATGGATGGATGGATGGATGAATGGATGAACAGATGGATGGATTGTTGACTGGAGAGATAGATTCACATACAGATGCTCACAGCCTTCACTGTGGCCTCTCCACTGCAGCTCCAGCTCCACAGGAGGAGGAATCCCAGCCAGTGCTGGGCGAGCTCAGGGTGTCCGAGGTCACCTCTGACTCGGTGCAGCTGGAGTGGAGCGTCCCCGAGGGCACCTTTGACTCCTTCACGCTGCAGTACCGCGATGCACAAGGCCAGCCCCAGGTGCTGCCCGTGGACGGGGGTTCCCGCACGCTGACGCTGCCGGGGCTGTCCCCGTCCCGCCGCTACAAGTTCAACCTGTACGGGCTGTGGGGTCGCACACGCCTGGGCCCCGTCTCCACCGACACTGTCACAGGTGAGGGGGCTCTGGCACCAGCCCCGCTGAACCGCCTCTTGTAGTGGACAGAAGCTTGGGCAGGGCCCGTGCTCGTGCCTTGGTCAGTGGAGGAAAGGGGGTGGGAGGGGATTTGGGATCAGTGGAAGAATGGGGGTGTGACAGGTTGGCAGGGTGGAGGGGTTGTTGAATGCATGGATGGGGGGATGGAGGGAGGGATGAATAGATGGATGGATTTCCAGATGAATGTTTACATTGATGGCTGGTAAATGGATCGATGGATTGAAGGATGGATGAATGGATGGATGAATGAATGGATGGATGGATGAATGGATGGATGGATTGAAGGATGGATGAATGGATGGATGAGTGTGTGGATACATGAATGAGTGGGGTTATTGATGGATGGGTGGATTGATGGATGGATGGATGGATGGATGGATGGATGGATGGATGGATGGATGGATGGATGCATGCATGAATGGATGGATGTGTGGGTGGATGAAAGGATGGTAGGATGAATGGATGGATGGATTTACAGATGAATGGTTATATGGTTGGCTAATGAATGGATGGATAGATTGAAGGATAGATGAATGGGTGGATGAGTGGGTGGATGGAAGAATGGATGGATGGATGGATGGATGGATGGATGGATGGATGGATGGATGGATGGGTGGATGGATGGGTGCATGGATGGGTGGATGGGAGGATGGGAGGATGGATGGGTGGAGGCATGAATGGATGGATGGATTTACAGATGAATAGTTATATGGATGGCTGATGAATGTATGGATGGATGGATTGAAGGGTGGAAGGATTGACTGACGAGTGGGTGGATGGATGGATGGATGGATGGATGGATGGATGGATGGATGGATGGATGAGTGGGTGGATGGATGGATGGATGCATGGATGGATGGATGGATGAGTGGGTGGATGGGTGGACGGATGGATGGAGGGATGGAGGGATGGACAGATGTAAGAAATAATTTCTGAGTAGAAGGATGAGTATACATAAACAATGTGTGTTGAATTCCTGGAGAGCTGGATGCTGATGGAAAGCATGGAGGGCTGAATGGATGAAAGGATACAGCAATGGATGGTTGGAGTTATGGATGGTTGATGGACCCTGAACATCTTCAAGGCCAGGTGTGTCAGTGCTGAATCAGCAAATGAATGCACTAAAGGTGGATGATGGGGTTGTTTGTCATCATGGGTCGAGTGTTCGAGAGGTCTTTAGAGCAGCATGGCTGCCTGTGGGATGGATGGATGGATGGATGGATGGATGGATGGATAAATTTGGAAATATGAGTTGGTTAGGGTGGTGAGACACTGGAATGGGTTGCCCAGGGAGGTTATGAATGCTCCATCCCTGGCGGTGTTCAAGACAAGTTTGGACGAGGCCTTGGGTGGTATGATTTACCGTGATTTACCAATGGCAGGGGCGTTGGAACCTGATGATCTCAAGGTCCTTTCCAACCCTAACTATGCTATGATTCTATGATTCTAAGAATACGGAATGCCTGGAGAGCATTAACTCAATGAGGAGCACTGAGGTTGCATTCATGAAAAGATCCACAAATAGATGAGAGGTCAGACGATAGATGATTGAGTGATCCTGTACTGGGCTCTTGATAGGATTCTATAGATGCAGGGATGGATTGAAAGATGGAAAGGACAATGAATGATGTATGGATGAGGCATGCATGTGTGGATGGATGGATGGATGGATGGATGGATGGATGGATGGATGGATGGTTGATGGGTGAGTGGATCCTTGATAGACGGATTGGTGGACGGATGTATGAATGGGTGGATGGATTGTTCGATGGATAGAAGAAAGCATTTATTAGTAGAAGGATGAGTAGAGAGTAACGATGTTTGTTGAATGAGTGGAGGGCTGGATGGCAGCGGAATGCATGGAGTGTTGAATGGATGAACGGATACAACACTGACTGCTTGCACTGATGCATGGTTGAGAGAATCTGAGAGTCTCAAAGGCAGGTTTCACTTTGCCGAATCAGTGATTGGTTGAACGTACAGAAGGCGGGTGGTGGAGTTTGTGCCTGATCATGTGGTGAGGGTTTGAAATGTCTCTAGAGCAGCACGGCTTCCTGTGAGAGGGTTGGATAGGACGGATGAATGGATGTATTTGGATTAAGGAGTAGAAGAATGGAGAGATGGAGCCATGGAATCCAGAATGTCTGGAGTGCTGAGTCCCAGTATTAAGAGTTGCATGGATGAATGTGTGCATCAATGAATAACTGATCGGATGGTGGATGTTTGAGTTTGTCACAGATCCTGTATTGGGTGCTTGATGGGACTTCAGAGACACATGGGTGGAAGGAAAGGTGGAAAGGAGGATGATGGATGGAGGTATTCACGAATGAATGTGTGATGGGTGGATGGATGGATGGATGGATGGATGGATGGACGGATGGATGGACGGATGGAAGGATGATGGATGGGTGAAGGGACTGACAGAGGGATGGATGTTGTGTGGATGGATGGATGGATGGAAGGATGGATGGATGGATGGATGGATGGATGGATGGATGGACGGATGGACGGACGGATGGACGGATGGAAGGATGATGGATGGGTGAAGGGACTGACAGAGGGATGGATGTTGGGTGGATGGATGGATGGATGGATGGATGGATGGATGGATGGATGATGAGACAAAGAGACAGGGGGATGGGTGGCTAGCTTGCTGAATGAATGGATCGAAAGATGAACGGAATGACGGATGGAGAGATGGATGGATGGATGGATGCATGGATGGATGGTTGAATAAATAGGCAGGGGGATGGATGGATGGATGGATGGATGGATGGATGGATGGATGGATGGATGGATGATGTGTGGAGGGATGTATGGATGGATGCAAGAATGGCTGGATGCGTGGGTGGATGGATGGATGGATGGATGGATGGATGGATGGATGAGTGGGTGGATGGATGGATGGATGGATGAGTGGGTGGATGGGAGGATGGATGGGTGCTGGGATGAATGGATGGATGGATTTACGGATTAATGGTTCAATGGATGCCTGATGAATGGGTGGATGGATGGATGGATGGATGGATGGATGGATGGATGGGTGAATGGATGGATGGATGGATGGATGCATGGATGGATGGATGGATGGATGAATGGATGAATGGATGCATGGACGGATGTACGAAACGATTTATGAGTAGAAGGATGAGTATACAAAAACTATGTGTGTTGAATTCCTGGAGAGCTGGGTGCTTATGGAAAGCATAGAGGGCTGAATGGATGAAAGGATACAGCAATGGATGGTTGGAGTTACAGATCGACCCTGAAAGTCTTCAAGGCCAGGTCTGATGGTGCTGAATCAGCAAAGGAATGTGCTAAAGGTGGATGATGGGGTTGTTTGTCATCATTGGTTGAGTGTTTGGCAGGTCTTTAGAGCAGCATGGCTGCCGGTGGGACGGATGGACGCGTGGATGGATGGAAGAGTGGGTGGATGGAAGCATGCATGGGTGCGTCGATGGATGGAGGGAGGGAGGGATGGATGAATGGGTGAGTGGGTGGATGGATGGGTGCATGGAAGATGATTGGATAGGTGGAAGGAGGGAGGGAGGGAGGGAGGGATGCATGCGTGGGTGGATGGATGGGTGCATGGAAGGATGCATGGAAGGACGGATGGATGGATGGATGAGTGGATAGGTGGAAGGATGGATGGATGGATGGATGAATGGATGGATGCATGGAAGGATGCATGGAAGGACGGATGGATGGATGGATGAGTGGATAGGTGGAAGGATGGATGGATGGATGGATGGATGGATGGATGGATGGATGGATGGATGGATGGATGGATGGATGGATGAATGTGTGAGAGGATAAAAGGGTTAAAGGATGGATGAATGGATGGAAGGTCAAATGGATGAATGGATGAGTGGGTGGGTGGATTTATGGATGGATGGATGGATGGATGGATGGATGGATGGATGGATGGATGGATGGATGGATGAATGGATGAGTGGGTGGGTGGATTTATGGATGGATGGATGGATGGATGGATGGATGGATGGATGGATGGATGGACGGATGAGTGGATAGCTGGAAGGATTGATGGATGGATGGATGGATGGATGGATGGATGGATGGAGAGTGTGTGGATGGAAGGACAGATGGAAGACTGCATGGATGGATGGATCAATGCATGGAAGGATGGATAATTTTGGAATTATGAGTAGATGAATGGATAGAGAGATCCATTGACTATGGAATCCCTGGTGAGCTTTATCTCAGTGAGAGGCATTGAAGGTTGCATTCAAGAATAGATCCATCAATAATGAGTGGTCAGACAATAGATGATTGATTAAATTGCTGAACCTGTATTGGGCGCTTGATAGGGCTCTATAGATGCAGGGATGGAATGAAAGATGGAAAGAATAATGAATGATGTATGAATAAAGCGTGCATATGTGGATGGATGGATGGATGGATGGATGGATGGATGGATGGATGGATGGATGGATGAACAGAAGGATGGATGAAAGGAGAGATAGATTCACATACAGATGCTCATGGCCTTCATTTTGGCCTCTCCACTGCAGCCCGAGCTCCACAGGAGGAGGAATCCCAGCCAGTGCTGGGTGAGCTCAGGGTGTCCGAGGTCACCTCTGACTCGGTGCAGCTGGAGTGGAGCGTCCCCGAGGGCACCTTTGACTCCTTCACGCTGCAGTACCGCGATGCACAAGGCCAGCCCCAGGTGCTGCCCGTGGACGGGGGTTCCCGCACGCTGACGCTGCCGGGGCTGTCCCCGTCCCGCCGCTACAAGTTCAACCTGTACGGGCTGTGGGGTCGCACACGCCTGGGCCCCGTCTCCACCGACACTGTCACAGGTGAGGGGGCTCTGGCACCAGCCCCGCTGAACCACCTCTTGTAGTGGACAGAAGCTTGGGCAGGGCCCGTGCTCGTGCCTTGGTCAGTGGAGGAAAGGGGTTGGAGGGGATTTGGGATTAATGGAAGGATGGGGGTGTGACAGGTTGGAAGGGTGGAGGGGTTGTTGAGGATGGGTGGATGGATTCATGAATAGATTGATAGATTCATGAATGGATGGATGGAGAGATTGACAGATGACTGGATATGGGAGGGGTGGATGGATGGATGGAGGAGTGGATGGATGAGTGCGTGGATGGATGGATGCATGGATGCATGGCTGAGTGGGGGGACAGTTGGATGGAGGCATGAATGTATGGATGAGTGGGTGGATGAAAGGATGCAAGGATGCATGGATGGATGAATGTATGAATGATTGGGTGGATGAATGGGTGGATGGATGGATGGATGGAAGGACAGATGGATGGATGGATGGATGGATGGATGGATGGATGGATGGATGGATGGATGGATGGATGGTTAAAATTGGAATTATTAGTAGATGAATGGGTGGAATGATCCATGGAATATGGAATGCCTGAAGAGCTTTACCTCAGTGAGGAGCATTGAGGGTTGCATTGATGAATAGATCCATCAGTAGATGAGTGGTCAGACAATAGATGATTGAGTACGTCAGTGATCCTGTACTGGGCTCTTGATAGGACTCTATCGATGCAGGGATGGAATGAAAGATGGAAAAGACGGGGAATGATGTATGGATGAGGCATGCATGTGTGGATGGATGGATGAATGGATGAACAGATGGATGGATGGATGATGGATGGATGGATGGATGGATGGATGGAAGAAAGCATTTATTAGTAGAAGGATGAGTAGAGAGTAACGACGCTTGTTGAATGACTGGAGGGCTGGATGGCTGCGGAATGCATGGAGTGTTGAATGGATGAAGGGATACAACACCGAATGCTTGCATTGATGCATGGTTGAGGGAATCTGAGAGTCTCAAAGGCAGGTTTCACTTTGCTGAATCAGTGATTGGTTGAACGTACAGAAGGCGGGTGGTGGAGTTTGTGCCTGATCATGTGGTGAGGGTTTGAAATGTCTCTAGAGCAGCACGGCTTCCTGTGAGAGGGTTGGGTAGGACGGATAAATGGATGTATTTGGATTAAGGAGTAGGAGAATGGAGAGATGGAGCCATGGAATCCAGAATGTCTGGAGTGCTGAGTCCCAGTATTAAGAGTTGCATGGATGAATGTGTGCATCAATGAATAACTGATCGGATGGTGGATGTTTGAGTTTGTCACAGATCCTGTATTGGGTGCTTGGTAGGACTTTACAGATGCACGGGTGGAAGGAAAGGTGGAAAAGAGGATGATGAATGAATGTATTGATGACTGAATGGGTGATGGGTGGCTGGGTGGGTGGGTGGATGGATGGACGGACGGACGGACGGATGGATGGATGTAAAGATGAATGGATGGATGGATGGATGGATGGATGGATGGATGGATGGATGGATGGATGGATGGATGGATGGATGGATGGATGGATGAAAGGATTTAT